ACACCGTACGATTGCTCCAAATCGTCCAAGAGGGCAGTTTAAGCAAGCCACCGCTCAACTGTAATTAACACCTGAAATTCTATATGCATATGCATTATTTCGTTCGCTAGAGCTACCTCGCGTTCTTCATAGACGATGCTTCAGGAGTTTGCAGCACTCACTCGAACGAATTAATAGGGCATAGCTCTAGAGTGGCAGATGCCAGAGTACTATAGAGCCATGGAATGCTTCGATCATCCAACAGGAAAACTTGGAGCAAGGGTACGGTGCAATACGTTGTGAAATCTGGTTTTAGAGGAGTCATTCGTTATTTGACATTTTCGGTCACACAATAGACTTATTTACAAAGCTGCTTAATTCTTTTTATTTTACCTAAATTTGTAATTAAATTTGCATGAAAAGCACTATTTTTTGTGGATTTGTACTAAAAGTTATATTTTTAACCTCATTGCATAGAATAATTGTATTAGCTTCCGTTATAATGTTCGCAACCGTGCAAATCGGAATTATGTAACTTGAGAAGCTGCTTTTAGCGGCACAGTAATGACTCTACTTAAACGAGCTATCTTTTGCCGTGCTCTTTGGTAATGTTGATATCGTTGTACATTCGTATGTGATATTGTTCATTTAATCTAGAAATAACCAAACAGATGATGCTGTTCTGAAAAAGTTTTATTTTCATTGCAAATACGTATCCGGCAAATTGAAACGTTTTGAAGAGAATGAAATAAAATATGAACCTTGAAATGTACTAATTTTAAATTATGTTCGGTGAGTCAAACGGTATTAGGTCTGATATTATAAAAGAACTTTTCCTATATCGCTCTTCACTGTTGCTTGGAATGCATGTCTGTCAGTTATTGAATAGAGACTAATCTTTGTTTAATTAAGTGTTGCCCCGCATGGAGTCTGGAGTCTAATAATGTTCATCTTTCATGACCGCTGCTCCTTTCGGGTTGCGGAGATAGATACGTTATGCAGTGCTTTCAGCGTTCTCGATCGTGTTCCCATTTCTGCAGGGGAAACCAGAGTCCAGAGCAGATTCCTTCAATATATTTGCACCAGGTTAATCTTGGCCGTCACCTGGGCCTTTGCCTGTCCGCCGGGCAAGAAGTAGAGTTCTTTTTCCTCCCTGGAGGAATTCGCAACATGTACCCAAAACAGTTCTATCGTTTATTATCTACCTTATTCACTGAGAAACATGTTTTCTTAAAAGTGAGTTGCGAATAATACCCTTTGTTACTTTCTCATCGATTACAATCAATTACGATCACAGATATATTTCGACGATTTAAAGTTTTGTTAAACTTAAAGTTTTGAGTTAAATTTTGTTAAGAACAGAATACCATGTTGTTCATGTCTTTTGCAAGCTACCGAATTATTAGCTGTTTAGGGCTGCGAAGCAACTTGAGATTAATTCCTTGCTTTAAGGTATTTGCGTTTAAGATGCTACTTGAACGGATTCGAATACGCGCCCACTGGATTCAAAGCTAATCTGTTAAAGACTGTGCCACCCTACCACTCAGTTCTCTAACGCAGTTGATTACAAAATTTCTTATTGCCATCATATGTTAAGGCCATCAAGAACTTGAACAGCCGAGATAGATTCTACCCAGTGTCTGTTCGTCAAAACGATTATTCCTCGCGCAAGCATTTTTTCTGTTTTAAGGTTGCAGCAGCAAAAAAAAACTATTCCTTATCGCAAATGGGTCTCTTTCCCTGCAAAGTGTTTGCTGTGATGCTACTGTCATCATGCTTGTTTTTCTTTATTTATAAAGCCTCTCTTCGACAACAGTCAGCAAGCGTAGTACCTTTCCTAGAGGGTCTGTGAAATTCAACTCGAAATATCGCTCTCCGACTTATTCCCTGGAAGTTGTTTATTTTCCATTGGCCATTAAGACTTCTTGATTTCGCATGGCTCATTCCTCTGTAGGTAAAATACGGTACAACCTTCCTAATGTATCATTTGGAACCAGATGCTGCTAAGAACTTCTTTATATAAGTCACATATGTATATATATAGCGGATCTCTAAAAGAAGTACGCTGGAAGTAGTTATATGGCGAAAATTATATTAATAATCTAATTCGCGTCTATGGAAACTTTCGGGAGTCACGGCTTCTTCGTTATGACTAGTTATTAGAATACAGAGAATCGGTTTGATTGCCTTGTAAAAAGAATTTGTTTTCAGATGCATGCAATTTTCCAGTAAATACCCCTCTCTCTAAATGGCAGCAGGTCCGATTCAAGAGCGCAACCAGGGTATGTATTTGATATTAATATGTGCTATTTTCTATGAATATTTTATTGGATTTAGATGCGACGATATATGTTGGCGGCTTGGACGAGAAGGTGTCGGAAACCATTCTTTGGGAACTGTTCGTTCAAGGAGGTCCCGTAGGTACGTATGCGGCATGTGTAAGATGTGGTTATGTTTTTGTTCCATCCCTTAGCATTTCTTAGCAGTTTGAAGTTGCCTAAAGGGAATGGATAAGGACGTCATTTTTCAAGGGTAGTAAAATACCATGAAGGAAGATATCTGAAGAACTTATAATTTAGTTATTACAGTCAAAAATGTTTCATATATAAAAATATGATACAGGTTCTACCGATCTGGCGGAAGATCTGTGCATCTTCTCAGTAAAATAAAGTCACGGGTCGAAACAGCCATCCGGTCATCGGTCTGTTTTTTGACAATGTTTAATGTGGTTTTGCTTTATCACTGCAAAATCTATGAGTGCTGGATGTACAACTGATGGTTATGTGCCGTTACAGAAGTTGAATTTGAATTATTCATAGGTTCAGCGGCTATTAGAGATCGTATACCTACGTATACAACTAGAGAGTACATTCTTTAGGCAGTCATTGAGTACAATAGTATTAGGTATTGTACAGTGATAACACTGTGTGAGAAAGCTAAACGACGTTACACGCTACGTTGTAATATAGCTGCAAATGTGTTGCCTTTACCTTTTCGTTAAATTAACTACCTTAGCTGACCAAGTCCAGATAACGATCAGAGCTGCACCATATGATTCATTGAAAGAAAGGTATCAATGAGAGCACCCATCATGAAAGATTAGCGGTGATTAGTGTCTCCAAACATATCATTCATGTAGAATGATATCTCTGAACTAGCATATTTGTTGATTTTTCAGTTAGTGTTCACATGCCGAAGGATCGGATAACGAACCAGCACCAGGGCTATGGCTTTGTTGAGTTCATGGGCGAAGAAGACGCGGATTACGCCATCAAGATTATGAACATGATCAAATTGTATGGAAAGCCGATACGAGTAAACAAAGTAAATGCCGGTACCCCAGCTTGGTTTCGAACACCTCAGCATAGTTTTTCAGGCTTCGGCACATCAAAAGAACTTGGACATCGGTGCCAATATATTCATCGGCAACTTGGACCCAGAAGTTGACGAAAAGCTGTTGTACGACACGTTCAGCGCTTTCGGGATCATTCTACAAGTACCGAAGGTGATCCATCGGTGCCACTCTCGGTTAGAGGCTATAAGCGAACACTAAACAGGTCCTGTTCTCTGTAGATCATGCGAGATCCTGACACTGGCAATTCCAAAGGCTTTGCGTTCATCAACTTCGCCAGTTTTGAGGCTAGCGATGCGGCAATCGAGGCGATGAATGGCCAGTATCTGTGCAACCGTCCAATCACTGCATCCTATGCGTTCAAAAAGGACGCCAAGGGCGAGCGGCATGGCACCGCAGCAGGTGAGGTCCAAAATTGATACAGTATATGCTCGACAACACGTTTTAGTTAAGGGCGAATTGCGATGGATCATATGCACCTTTAATAGTAATAACTACAACAATAATAAGAATAAATCCATCTCTGCTTATGCAATTTATTTATCAACCTTTTTCGATCCCCTGTTAAATAAATGCCTCTCCAACGCTATACCATAAATTTTTGGTTTCTGTGGTTCTTGTTCATCTTTATCCAGTCAAATTCTTAACCTCATCCTGTTATCGATATGACGGTCTTCTTATGGGCCCTTTACTTCCTTAAGAACCCAGTCTAGGTCTCTCTCGTCTATCGATGATCCGTACTTTTAGCAACATGTCATACCCCATTGTCACTTAGATGTCTTTTTTAGACAATGACGTTGTCGACTCTTGTGTATGCTTATATCCGTTCATTCGTCTTCCTGTCTTCTTATTCACAGCATACATCTTTCGGTGTTGCATTCTGTAGTCTGCACCCTATGAGCAGCTTTTATGCTTAGGGTCCACGTTTTGCACCCATAGATTAGCACTGTTCGAAAACTCCGTTTCAAGCACACGAGCAGTTTCCTGAATTAGTTTGCAGTCTTCCAGTAGTGTTCAATACCCCTTTTATTCTTTTGTTGATTTCCAATAGTCACTTTTCTATTGTAGAGATGAACTATTTAAGATGGACCTAGTTTTGCACCTCTGCAAACCCAAGTCAGTTGATTTGAACAGGTCGCACACTTATGTATTTGTTAAACTTCACGTGAGTCTGCTTCAGGTATGTTCTCTGTTCCACTTTGATGTTGACATCGTTCAGCTTTTGAATTCTCCCGTTGAGTTGTGAAGACCTTGAGAAGATCAGGGTGTTTTCTAACAAAACCCAGGTGGCTTAAGTAGTGTCTATTTATGTTCATCGTCATCAGCGTTTGTTTATCTTGTTTTGTTGTTTGCTAGTACAATAACAGCTCTGGTGAGTATTAGTTCCTAGTCAGATGGTGGCTTATAGTGACCACATTGAATGACGCCATGCGCAGATTGTCGTGAAGAATCGCAGTGTCTGGAACGGCTTCTTTAAAGATATATTCCGTTATTCAGTCGAAGAGCCGAATGACAGTCATTTTTGAATTTTTTCCACTTCGTGCTAACGAAGTGTACAACGTTCATCAGATTGATAACCCTGAGGCATTGCCCCAGTTCATGCAATTTCACTATACCACATTGTGGGAAAAATGGACAAACCGAACTCCGTGGTTAGTAGGTAGATATCATTTACAAATTTATCAACTCTGTTTCAGTAAGCTTCAGATTTTTGGAAATAGACTGACATTGTTCCCTCTTACAGTATAGACTGAAATCGATTAGGTGCCCATTGTTTCTTCTCTAATACTAGTGTTTACATATAACAACCTTATAAGGTTTTTATCTTTCGACAATTTTCCAGCGCTTCGAAATTTCTGTATAAGTTAAGCGATGAACGGTTCAGCTTATTAAATTTAAATCGATATCTTGCAAGGATGCCGAAGCCGATAGATCTTTAGATTCCATCGTGTTGCTATGAGAAGCAACTGTTTATCGTTGTGCTAGTCATGCAATCAGAAGACCTGTCAGCTTCAGTTTCAGCTTATAGAGGGAAGTTCTCGATCTTGTTGTGACTCACCAAGCAGACGCCGTGAAACACTGCTACACCCCCTTCTATACCAAAATCTTTATTTCTTTTCAACGTATGATAATTGAATTCAATATTTGTCGGTAGTAAATTGCTAACATTTGTTGTTTGGTGACCTCAACCAATCTACAGTCTCAACAACGGGCTTAGGATCGGAAATGTTATGTTTATTAATTAAATAATATTCTAAAGTTTTGTACAGGTTAAAATCGTTTCTGCTATTGAATTATTATATTATATTATCTACTGTTGGTTATGGGCAATACACTTATTATATACCATTATGCTTTGTTCACCCCTTTTAAATTGCCTCGAATTCATTGCTTTTTTGCAGAACGTTTGCTTGCTGCGCAGAATCCAATATTCCCAGCTGATCGTCCTCACCAGCTGTTCGCTGATGCGCCGCCGCTTCCGCCAATGCCGATGTTCCCTCCTCCCCCACCACCCACGAGTAACAGTTTTTATCGCCGTATTTTTTTTCTTGTTTTCTAATCGTTTAACTTCGTTTATAGGTATTTCAGTAATATCCGTACCGCCTCCGATTCCACCACCACCACCGCCAAATATCACTCCGATACCTGTTCCCCCACCTCCAATGATGCTTCCTCCTGGCCAACCACCTCATATGCCACCGCCGAATATACCACCACCAAGGCATCCACCACCCATGAATCAGCCCCCACCTTTGCCACCATCTCCCTGGAATCCCGCCAACCCGCCGCCGTCGATGCTCACTCAGACTCCACCGCCGCCTCCTCCTTCCGGTGTTAGGCCTCCACCTATGCCCATCAGCTTTCCGCCTCGACCTCCACCGCCTCATGGATTTCCTCCTCCACCGCCACCACCAGCTGGTGCAGGTAAATCACTGTTTCTTCTTTTGCATGTTTTCAATACTCAACTGTGTTAATGGAGTCGGTAAACATTTCATTTTTTAGGACCACCACCATTTGGCATGCCTCCACCACCAAGGCCTCCACCTCCCCTCTCAATGTCGGTACCTCCTCCGAGGCCATCGATTCCACCTCCGCCTCCTCCGCAATGAGTTCTCGCTTGCGTTTGTTGTAACAAAATGAACAGTTTTTGGCTTTTGTATTCTGTTCATAGTAAATAATGATTTTGGTCGAAGTTTCTTGGTCATAAATCAGGCGTGTAATAAGTGTACACCCTCCTATTCCATTCCTTACTTGCACAGTGCTGTCTATTCCAGGCTGACATTTCATACTAAAAAATAAGAACACCTGTTGAGCGGCAAATATTTCTGTATGCAAATATATTAGAGCAGATTTATCATTTAGCTATAACAATACAAACTACTGAGATGTAAAGGAAAGTGCGAGACATGGTATTTCGTGATAGTTGATTGGTACTTATATGCTTATTAAGATACATCGTGTTTGCAAAACCGTATTTGCTGCCAGTACACATAATGAGGTTAGGTCATGCATGGTCATTGGATCAAGAAATTCGACCAAGGAATTTCTAAAATACCACGAAATGATGGCCTGTTTAGGTGGATCGAATGCATTTAGATACACTGAGTAACGTCATACTTCTCTGAAACCCAGTTTTGTACGGTTACACGCAAGCTACCGTAATACATTAAGTATCTATGCTATCAAAATGCTTTATAAATTTAAAACGCATTTCGGTCTGTCTCAAAGACATACTGCGGGTTGCAGCACAACATGTGTAATTCTCCAGCTAAGCTGGCGAACACCCGGGGAGACTTTACTGATAAATATTTACGACTAAGGTGGCAGCGAGGGAAAATTATATTGTCCTGTGCTTCATCTCTATATGAAAGATGAAGATGGCTGAGTTGGCAGAACATCACTTTCACTATCAAAACATTTTTCATTCGTCTGAATTTGATAAATATCTTTATGTGGGAAGAAACAGAAAGCTATACACGATAATGGCTTAGGCTATCTGTAGATATTCCGTTCAAAAATGATGGAAACTTTGATAAATGCTATCGTACAAGTGATCAACATCGCAACAAAGATAAAACGAGCTTCAAATGACGATTACGATAGCGGTACCTCAGGACCGAGTATGAAAATTGTTACAAACTTTCTTTTCTGCATGCAGTGCGAAAGTCCCGATGTTGGTAAAAAATGTTGTACTCAAAGATGCACCAACAGCAAATACTTTATAGTATGTTAAAGTAAAACGCGTAAAAATGCACCGATGTGCTGCTGAATATACTTAACAATCATCGATCGTATGCAACGAAACAGTCGCGTTAGGAAAGTAGTCAGGGCACTTGAGAAAAAACTGCTGTTAATTACAAGTATAGCCCATAGTTTCGTCACAATCTCCGCGATCTGCTTTGGTTCAATTATGCTTCTTTACACATGTCGAAAATAGTACTTTAACCTTCTAGCAACACGTAAACAAAAGTGAATCAATTTTTTTAACGGCCAATTGGAAGTATTAACAAATCGAAGAGATAAAACGATCGTCACTGAACGTTTTCGTAGTACGTAAGGTTAATTTCGTAAAATGTTCCATCTTCCATCTTATCCGCCATTTTGTTAATGTATTCGACGAAATACGACGTCTCGTTATCATGGTAGACGAGTGCCAATGAAAAGCGCCGCGGCGTGATGGATATCAACTATTTAAAAAGCGATGTGTGTAATATGTAAATTTCGCAAAACGAATCATATCAATCATCTTCACAACAGTGAATATTTGCATGTAAGACAGGAATATGTACCTGCACGTACACTTATGAATAGATCGTTACAGAGTTGCAAAAAATCTCTGAAACGGTCTTCAGTATTACACAAAGTAAAAACTTTTTAACAAAGCAGATTTACAAAACTTGGCTGTGAATATTTCAAGTAGCTGGCCGTTCTATAATAC